ATCATTTTATTACTCTTTTAACACTCATGCTGAAGTTCTGATATTTTGTTGAAATCCATTGTTTTACTCTTTGCATATTTGTTGGCTCTTTGCATATTAATATATTAGACTACATGCAAATACAGTCTGTCTTGCCATTGTCTGTTGAAGTGCAGGTTTGATCCAGCCAGTATAGAACTAGCTCTGTAGGGGTGAGGAGGACTGTGCTGTGTATCATCCTTGATTGTGTTCCTTCAAGGAGCATTGCACTGTAAGTACATCAGAATGACAAATTGATGAACTGCAACAGTATCTTTTTGTCAATGTTCCACATAATGCAAATGCCATACTTTGTGTGAATATTATGTTGGAATACAGTGCTGATATCTTGGAAAACCATAACTGCTTCTTAATTTAACATAGAATAATACATAGTTCTGTATTTTTTTTTAAAGTGAGCTTAATGGGTAAGTATTTTTTTTTATGTGCTTTAGCTATAGCTAAAGAAAACTGATACTTAACAAAGTTGAATAGTATTATTCACTGGTGCTCCTACAATATTGTTTTTCAGTGTAAAATATGCATATCTTCTATATTTAATATGAAAATCTTGAAATGTATTAGACAGGGGATTTCAGTTTGCAAATAATGAGCAATGTAGCAATTTTAACACATTTCATAAATATGTATTTTGTCATTGGTGGGGAGCACCATTTGTTGTTTCAAATATACTTTAAAGGAAGAAATACAAGGACATAAATGTTGAGATTACCTGCAGAATGGAAATAGCAGTACAGTGTACCGTTCATTGTAGATACTTTGAAATGTTTTTTGATTGTTTTATATAACCTAGAGTGATTTCCCTTACCCTTATTTAGATCGGGATATTTAGTTCTGGTTTGAAGTTTAATAGTTAAGGAGTTAGCTATCTATTATCTTTAAGAGTAGGGTATTGATGTGAACAATTGCAGTATTTTGCATGATACTGTTTTATAGATGACCTTTTAGGAAAGTGGTGCGTTTATTAATTGAACTGAAGAATTAGTTCAGTTGAATTCAGTATCATAACTCACAAATTGGAGGCTGTTGACTTTTATTCATTTAAGGTTTAAAATCTTTATTAATTGCAAACAGTGCAATTATTTATACTTCACAGTGCCTTCCCAGACCTTCCACCTTAGGTTCTGCTGCAAAAAGCACCAGGTAAGCACAACCTAAGGACATATATAAATAAATATTTCAGTACATTAATGTTGTCCCTGTGAGGTTTTTGTGGTTGTGTATTCAAAGGCAATCTGCTACTGCTTCCCCAAAATGTATTTTGTTATTTTATGCTACCAACTTAGTGGAAAGTCTGTAAGTTGTTAAAGCAACTGTTTACATTTCTGGGTAATGTTTTTTATTTTACTTTTTTTTTTTTTATTAAAACAAGAAAATGATGAGTAGATTGCTGCAGTAATTGTACTACATCCAAATCTTTTTGTATTTTTTTCCCAAATATAGAAGTGTTAAGATTAAGAAAGGACAGTTACACAGTTTTCAAGATTTAGGAAATCACTTGTTTAGAAACTTCAACAGCCTTCACAATCTGTTTTATATGATTGACAGAAAATTTCTTTGCCCTCCAAAGCTATAATTTCTTAATTTTTTTTTCTTATTCTTAAACTATAATAATTCAGTAAGGATGTTATGGGTTAGAATTTTATTATGGTTTTTTTCGTAGACAAAAGTTATATGCTGAAAAAGGAAAAAGTTATAAGGCAGTATGTTTTGATAAAAGGCATGTGCATCAGTGAAATGTTAACTGTATAGCAAATAACCTTTCATAATCTGTAGCAACCAGTATTTTTCTGATTTAATAATATTTTAATAACTGACGCTGCGTTAATTTAATTTTTTTTGCCAGTTTAAAATGTTTGTGTGTTTTTATAGATGATTTTAACTGGTACATATTTTGAGTTAAGATGAATGTATGAAAGCAGCATCTTATCAGTTTTGTTTATTCTATTTCTAAAATGTGCTGATCCTTTTAAAACTCCTGCTTATCTCTGCAACAAAGAAAAATATTCAAAAATACTGCCTTCATTTTCACACACAGTGCTGAAGATGCTGCAAGCACCAAATCATAGCTCATAAAATCAGGTCCTGAGATAGTTACCCATAAAGAGGAATCCTTTGAGTGTATGCCATTGGTGAGCCGATGAGCATGGACCATAGAAGGGCTCAATGTAGAAGGTAAAATTGGCAAATCATAATTGAGAAATATGAAATGTATTTCCCATACATATGGTATAGGGTGTAATGTACCTGCTTTTGATCACTTTTCATTTTAAAGTGCTATTCACTTGATCTTAAATGTTCCATGAACTGTTAAATTTCTTAAGTTACATAGTTATTACACATTTATGTGTGTGTATGTTTTAATAGTAAATGATAGGTATATAAGATTGATAATTAAAGGGGCTCATTGAAACTTATGAGCCTGTTGAGTTTGGTTAGTTGTAGATTGCATTTTTATTTAAAAAAAAAAACAGATAGATGAATGATAATAGATATTGGGGCATTGTTTCTGTCTCATAAGAATTCTTTTATTCATTACCATAAGCCTTCACTGATACTATAAGCATTATTTTAAATGACGCTGATCTTAAGTTTGAAATAAATGGAAAGCAGAAAAGGTGAGCCAGTTGATTTGAATGCATTGGATATTAGTGTTAGAAACAATGTTTAGTTTAGACTGAAATTGAACTGACTTATTTAACACTTAAACAAAATTTGACAATGTTTTTTAATTTTTTTAAGACAGCTTAGTGTGGTGATACTTAGAATTCTGTGGTTTGATGTTTCTTTTAGAAATGAGAAGTATTGTTTTATTTTTTTAATATCAAAAATGCTTTTAATACTAAAACTAGTAATTTGATACTAGTTGTTTCTAAACATTGTAAAATATATCTTTAAACAAATTATCTTGGTAGTTAATTCATAAGGGTGGGGTTGGGTAGGAATAGCAGAGTACCTTCAGAGGGAAAGGGGAGTAATTCAGAAGTGATAGCATTTTATTTGAATACTCTGCCAGTAAAATCAGCTCTACTTAGAAAGTTATCTGTTGTGTAGAATAATGATGTAGAGTTTACTAATCAGTGAGGATGTCTTGTTTTTATTTTCTGCAAATTCTGCCTCATTTTAAAATGCATTTTAACAATAGCTAATTAAAGATAATTTTGGCTCTGAAAATAACCTTATTTTTTGTTGAGTTAGTGACTTCATTTTTCTTGCCACAAATAAACTTTTGAGGGATTTTTTTAATTGGTGCTTTTAATAAGCAAATGAATCCCAGGGTTTTATTTTCTTCAGTGATACCCCTATAGAAAAAACTCTTAAATGTATTTGCACATATATATATATTTTTTCTTATGCATGCTCGATGCATTTTCGTCCTGAGAAAAATGTTCTCTACAGAAACTACCCGTGTGTAAAAAGAAGATTGGCTTAAAATGGCTACTGTGATGGGAACAGTGTCTTAGGGAGATGCAGCTTGGACTTGAGGTAAATTGAATACTTTACAAACTGTGGTTTAGAGTTTGCTTTAATGACATTGTATGTAAAAGGTCACATGATTGCTGTAATTTTGTATTCATTATGGTTTCCTCAATAAATAAATGTACATTGATGAATATTATAAGGGAGTGCTTTGTGTTTTTTATACATATATTGGTAAAATTTTCTACTTGACTTTTTTAATGTTTACTGTGAGTAAAGACGATTTTTAAAAGTTTTAATGCATGGTGAAACCCCTGTCTACTAAAAATTAGCTGGACGTGGTGGTGCATGCCTGTAGTCCCAGCTACTCGGGAGGCGGAGATTGCAGTGAGCTGAGTTTGCACCACTGCACTCCAGCTCTGGTGACAGAGCAAGACTCTGACTCAAAAAAAAAAAGTTTTAATGATAAAGGGGTAACATCTGGTTGCACAAGTCTTAAAATACAGAAATAAGACTTTTTTAAATACAGAAGTTACTTTATTTGAGATCACATTGTAAAATAAAACTGTATTCCAGAAAATTAATATATAAAACAACTTAATAGAACATAATAGCTAATTATTTACAAACTTGTTTTAAAGACTAGAATTTTAAATTGAAGGTTGTGCCACTTTTTTCTTAAATCTAACACAGATCTTGAAATGCTGGACTATGCTGAAAGTGTTTTCTCTTGCATGAACTATTAATACAAAGTTTTTTTCATTAAAATATAATCTGTTCAGGCAAGATCACAGCATAAATTTGCTTTATATATTACATATGTTTGAAAAATAAGGTGTAATATCCTCAACACTCAACACTGTATAAGCAGTGTTTCTTAAAAGTCCTTTAATTATTGTTTTTCTCTTATACTCCAACTTTTCTGTGAAAGGAGTATCACTCCTCCCCACCCCGTTCTAATCCCAATATATCTGCTTCAGAAAGACTTTGAAACTACAACAACCAGAATGATATACTACTAAAGAAAAAGCCCACTCAAATTGATAGGTTCCAAATTAATCAGCTATTTCAACCTAATTTTAGGTGTAAAAAGCTCAGAAATGACATTCATGCAAAATAATATATTTTACGTAGGTTTTTTTTAACAGTTGTCGTAAACATCTATGGGAAATACACAGCCTTTATAATAGGTTCTGATAGAATAATTGAGTAATTTCCCACCCCACAATTAAGTACATTTTACCGACTGTTACTGCATAATAGGTGATAAATCTGATGTTCATGTGGAAAAGAAGGCGGCATTCTTTAGATGAGCTGTGTTTTGAAGACGTATGTAAAGGAGTAAGAAGTCAACATAATGGCACTCCTGGTTTCCTTTTTTGGCCCCGCCACAGAAAAGATGGATGTAATAAGAAAGCTGGAGTGAAAGAGAAAGTTCCAGGAAGAGGGGAGGGGAGCTAGTAGTCACCAGCTAAAAAAGAGAAGAAGAAAAGTGATTTTAAGGAAAAAAAATTTAATAGAATAAAAGAAGAAAAGAGTAATTAATTCTTACTTTCAATGGTAAGAATACAGGTACTAGCTGCAGATCCTTTATTGTTGACTGCTTTACACATATATTCTCCTCCATCTTCTGGGAAAGTTTCTGGTAAGTAAAGGCAGTAAGTTTCTCCCCTTTCAATATATTGATAGTCTTCTCCATCCTGCAGTATTTCTCCTTCAAACCACCATGTAATTTCTGGTTTGGGTTCTCCTGTTACTTTAACGGTAAATCTGACTGGCTCACTGTCTACAACTGATGTGTTTTTAAGAGGTTTCTTGAACCATGGAGCTCCTGTTCTGGTTTGCTCTTCATCTTCAGTAGTGGAGCCATTCATGATGCTGTTTTCTTCCTCTTCCTCCTCTTCTCTTTTCTATGTTAAAATAAGTGTATTCAGGTTGGCATTTATAATACAGTATTTACAGCGATATAGTAACAATTTTGAAGTAAAATTTTTTTTAAGTAAAGAGCATACAAGTATGCCTACTACAAAGTGTACTTAACAATACATCCAGGCCCAGCGCGGTGGCTCACGCCTATAGTCCCAGCACTTTGGGAGACTGAGGTGGGCAGATCACCTGAGGTTAGGAGTTCAAGATAAGCCTGACCAACATGGAGAAACCATGTCTCTACTAAAAAATACAAAATTAATCGGTTGTGGTGTTTCGTGCCTGTAATCCCAGCTACTTGGGAGGCTGAGGCAGGAGAATCACTTGAACCCAGGAGGTAGAGGTTGTGGTGAGCTGAGAGTGCGCCATTGCACTCCAGCCTGGGCAACAGGAGAGAAACTCCATCTCAAAAAAAAAAAAAAATTCTAGTGACTTGAAGAAAGCTATTAAAACATTTTTTTAAACTCATCTAATTAGACTGGGTTTCAAGAGGGCATCTTTGGAAAATAAAGGATATGTAAGCCTGGTACCTTTTGTAGTGCTGCATCAATTTCCCTTTGTTCAAACTGCATTCGTAGTAACTTTTGTTCTTCAATTCTTCTTTGTTCTTCTTCTTCTCTTGCCTTGGCCATTTGTTCAAATCTTGCTTTCATATTCACTTTGTGAGTAAATGGAGCCTCGCTTTTTATTGCAGGCCTAACGTCAACATCTTCTTCCTGCAAGAAAATGGGCCAAGACTAACAAAAATAGCTTGCCTTCTAAAAACAAAGAAATGTTACTAGTTCTGACTTTTTTTGAGACAGAGTCTTGCTCTGTTACCAGGCTGGAGTGCAGTGGCGCAATCTCGGCTCACTGGTGGCTCTGCAACCTCCACCTCCTGGGTTCAAGCGATTCTGCCTCAGCCCTCCCAAGTAGCTGGGACCACAGGCGCCTGCCACCACTCCCGGCTAATTTTTTTCTATTTTTAGTAGAGTTGGGGTTTCACCATGTTGGCCAGGATGGTCTCAATCTCTTGACCTCGTGATCCACCCGCCTCAGCCTCCCAAAGTGCTGGGATTACAGGCATGAGCCACCCTGGCCAGAAGTGTTACTAGTTCTAAAGGTGTTGTTTATAAGCACAAAATGATAAACATGTTTGTAATGCATATTTGGACTACACTGCAGACACTCAGATTTTTCTAACTCCTAAGTTCAAGAAAAGTGATAGATATATTTATGAACCATTCTCTTGATTACATAGTCTTTTCTGAATGTAAAGATCACAGTATCACTGGAATCCCAGCCTGTTTGTCTAACCAACTCCACTTGGTGTTAACAGCACTTAATTGAAAAGGTCAGAATACTATACATTCTAATAATTGTTAAAACATACCATTCCCTACTACATAATGAGAAATCTGTTCTTTCTACTTGGTGATTTTCCCTTCTTCACTCTACTTAGAACTATGTCCCTGATGAATTCCATCCAAATAATGTAACGATGGTGAAATGGCCGGGTAAGGGTGTTTACAAGTAGAAAAACAGGAAGAGACAACTGTTGAAAGAGACAAGGACTTAAAAATGGGGAAATCTATATGTTTGAGACATCTACTGAGGGTTGAGTTGAAAGCCATGGAAATAAGGGAGTGACTTAAGAGCAGAGTGTCAACTGTCAAATAGTGTGTCTAGGAAAATAACAATTTGGTGGTAATAATGTCTTCTAGAGCATTTTGGGTGGAGTGGGGTTAATGTGGGTAGTTAATTCATGGTTTTTTGTTTTTTTTTTTTTTTTTTTTTTTGGAGACGGAGTTTCGCTCTTGTTACCCAGGCTGGAGTGCAATGGCGCGGTCTCGGCTCACCGCAACCTCCGCCTCCTGGGCTCAGGCAATTCTCCTGCCTCAGCCTCCTAAGTAGCTGGGATTACAGGCACGCGCCACCACGCCCAGCTAGTTTTTTGTATTTTTAGTAGAGACGGGGTTTCACCATGTTGACCGGCATGGTCTCGATCTCTCGACCTCGTGATCCACCCGCCTTGGCCTCCCAAAGTGCTGGGATTACAGGCTTGAGCCACCGCGCCCGGCCCATGGTTTCTAAAGTATTTCAGTTGTAGTTGACTTTTGGTTTCTAGACTACTTAGGCATTTGTGGATCCAGTTGGAAATCTCACCATTTATTTTTCATGGTACTATGAAGAAATTGTTCCAGGTTACCACACCCAACTAAAGAGAAATTTGAAACAAGCAGTAGTTTAATTGCTTATATAAGAAAAATCCTGGTTTGGGTGTTTCACTCAGTTTCAAGCACCTCGTACCTACCTCATTTCCAATGAAAGGAGTAGAAGGAGGTTAAAATGTTTGAATAGTTTTCCTGGTTCTGCATTAGATTTTTATTTGATATTGGAAAATCATGGGACAACCTACTATCTGATGTGTAAATTCTATTTTGTGCCATTATTTACCTTCATTTAGTAAATGTAATGCCTGACTGGTTGTTGCAAATGAAGGTACAGAGGTTTTTAACATTATTATTATACTTAAAAGACAGAGTATAAAAAATGATTAAACCATGTTTTGCTTTTGCTTACTGTAGTTTTAACAGACTTCTGAGACTTAAATTATAAAAGGACCTTTTTGTTCACAGTATACACTTGTTTTTTGTTGTTTACAAACTGAACCTTTAAGATGGAATATTCCAGCAGGTACAATAATTGCTATTCTGAGTCCTTCCCAGTTAATGACTTGCCTTCCAGATTTTAGCCTCTTGATGAAAATTCATAACTATTCATTTAGCTACCTCAAAACTGCATTTAGAAAATTGAGTAAATAGAAGAATTTCTCTTGAGCTGAAAGGTTATGAACAGTCCTTCAGTCAAGTACAGTTGTCAACTTTTTTTGAGCCCCTGAAGAGCCAGGTTAAAACATGTTATAAGTCAGCAGTTAGGCAGTGTATCTTCCTTGAGATACAATAAGGTTTAAGATAGTTTTGGAGTAGACTTTATTGGAAAATCTAACTAGAAATTCAACATTATATAAAGCATTTAAGTACCAAACAAGGGTACGTGTTTAAGTGCTACAGGACCTGGGATGGAATTCTTTGATTAGATAAGGTTATATAAATGAGTTGAGCCTTGAAAGAATATAAACATTTCAAAGACACTGAACATTGATTTTTCTTTTTGTCTTCCCCCGCCGCCATCCCCCCGACAATCTTGCTTTGTCACCCAGGCTGGAGTGTAGTGGTGCAATCTCAGCTCACTGCAACCCCCTGCCTCCCAGGTTCAAGCAATTCTGCCTCAGCCTCCCATGTAGCTTGGATTATAGGCGCCTGCCATCACACCCAGCTAATTTTTGTGTTTTTAGTAGAGACGGGGTTTCGCCATGTTGGCCAGGCTGGTCTCAAACTCCTGACCTCAGAGGTGATCCACCTGCCTCAGACTCCCAAAGTGATGGGATTACAGGTGTGAGCCACTGCATCCAGCTGCTAAGTTTTTAGACTTTCAATCACCTTTAACCCAGAAAGTATGATAGATAGGAGGGACTTCAATGTCCTCCAGAGGAAACTCCATTCAGGATACTCTGGGTCATAGAAGTTGAGCCACGTCCAAATATCGCATCCATGTATGCTAGAGAGTCACTAATAGCAATAAAACAAGAAATCACCTATCTTTCATTTTTATTCTTTACTACATATTTTGTAGGTTTGGGTATGACTGCTAAGGTTTCACTACCCTTAACAAAAGGAAGCAAGTGCATGCTGATTGAACTTAACTTTTCCATGATACACCTATAAAGACTCATCTTTGGCCATTCATCCACTAAATATTGGTGTTCTCCAGGGTTTTATCATTCACCTTCAACAATTAACTTTATAAGCAGCTTTATCTACTTGTACTTTCTGTCCATAAAAATCTGTAGTTCTTGCGCCTCACCTGAGTTTAGGACCTATGTTAGACTACCTTTACCTTACCCAATTATCGCCAAAACTGTACACCCCACCTCCCCAGAAGTGATTTCTCTATAGCATCATCTAGTTATCCGGAAGTAATGGTAGCCCCATCTGCAACCAAGTACCCAAAAAGCAACCAAGTACCTATAATCCTTTTTGTTTGTATGTTTGACTCCTATCCATACCTGAGTCTAACCTAGTTTTGTTAGTTAGGTCTGTTTTTCTCCCCTGGCCCCAACTTGATGCCTGTCTTGCAGTTCATCCTCCGTGGTCCCAGAATTCTTGCATAAACATAAATCCTTTCTTACTCTGACCTAAAAAGTTGATGATTAATATTGTTCTCCTGATCATAGTGCCTGCAAGGTTTAAAAAGACCTTCATTAACTAGCCACAACCTACTTTTACAACTTTGTATCCTATCACTTATTCTGTGAACTTTGCCTTGTAGTCCTTTGAACCTGTTTTCCATTCCCCAGATATATTTTTACAACCTCTGAGTTAATCTGAAAGGCTTCTCCTATCTGGAATGTTTCTCCTCTTTACCTGCAACTTTTATTCGGCCTTCACACTCAGCTTAAATCTCACCTTCTTGGGCTTGTTAAACATGTCCTAGGTATATTGACTCTACCCAATTTGATTCTGTAACACTAAGTATACAATTTCTATTATAGCATTTACAATACTTAGAATTTTCTTCAGTTATACATACTTAGACTGAACTTAAAGACATATCAACTTATATATCCTCAAAACAATAGATCCAACATGTTAAAAGTGTTCAACATTTTTTAGATGTTAAAAAATAGAAATGGTTGCGGCCAGGCACAGTGTGGCTCATGCCTGTAATCCCAGCACTTTGGGAGGCTGAGGCAGGTGAATCATGAGGTCAGGACAGTGAAACCCGTGCCTACTGCAAATACAAAAAATTAGCTGAGCGTGGTGGTGGGCACCTGTAATCCCAGCTACTCGAGAGGCTGAGGCAGGAGAATCACTTTAACCCTAGAGGGGGTTGCAGTGAGCTGAGATTGCACCACTGCACTCCAACCTGGGCAACAGAGCAAGACCCCCATTTTTAAAAAAAATTAAAAAATAGAAATGGTGTTTGCTTTTAGCAGTGATGAAATGGTTTATCTACAACTAGCCCAGGCCCTGGGCTTGTATGTTAACACAAGCTCAAATGCATATTGAATTGATTGGTTGATAACTGGATGTTTCGCAGCATCTCTATTTGTCTGAAATAGCTTATGGAACCTCTTCCTTCCAAACACTGATTTCCCATATTGTTACTGTATACTTGTTAGTATGATTCCTTCCTCTTTCTTTCTTCCTCTCCATCACCATCCCCAAGTCCTGCCAGTTTTGACTCCTATATACTTACCTGTGCTTTCCATCCCAGCCCTACTTCAAATCCTCAGGCCTTCTCTGACCACCCTGTATAAAATAGTAACATGTACTCTTATTTACCTTACTCTGCTTTAGTAATCTTCATAGCTAGCCGGGCGCGGTGGCTCAAGCCTGTAATCCCAGCAGTTTGGGAGGCCGAGGCGGGTGGATCACAAGGTCAAGAGATCGAAACCAACGTGGTCAACATGGTGAAACCCCATCTCTACTAAAAATACAAAAAATTAGCTGGGCATGGTGGCACGTGCCTGTAATCCCAGCTACTCAGGAGGCTGAGGCAGGAGAATTGCCTGAACCCAGGAGGCGGAGGTTGCGGTGAGCCGAGATTGCGCCATTGCACTCCAGCCTGGGTAACAAGAGCGAAACTCCGTCTCAAAAAAAAAAAAAAAAAAAAATCTTCATAGCTTTAATTTGTTAACCATCTGATAACTGTTTTCCATTCCTCCACCGACCCTCAACCCACCCATGTGAACAGGGACTGTAAATTTAGTTAACTGATGTTGTCCTGTGGACATAGTAGTCAAATAATATCTTTTTTCTTTGAGACAGAGTCTCGCCCTGTCGCCAGGCTGAATTGCAGTGGTGTGATCTCAGCTCACTGCAACATCTGCCTCCGGGTTCAAGTGATTCTCCTGCCTGAGCCTCCTGAGTAGCTGGGATTACAGGAACCCCCCATTATGCCCAACTAATTTTTGTGTTTTTGTAGAGACAGGGGTTTCACCATGTTGGCCAGGCTGGTCTTGAACTCCTCATGTGATCTGCCCACCTTGGCCCCCCAAAGTTTTGGGGTTGCCACTGTGTGAGCCACTGCGCATGGCGTCAGATAATTTTTTTTTTTTTTTTTTTTTTTTTTTTTAAGACAGGGTTTCACCATGTTGGTCAGGCTGGTCTTGAACTCCCAACCTCAGGTGATCCGCCTGCCTTGGCCTCCAAAGTGCTTGGATTACAGGCATAAGCCACCACACCCGGCCGGCCTCAAATAATTTTTTAATGCATGTATCTAATACCATATAGCTTCAGCATGATCTAGCTGTATAGACAATACCTGTCTGGCAATATCCATGTTTTGTTTTTGAGACAGGGTCTTGCTCTGACACCCAGGCTGGAGTGCAGTGATGCAATCACAGTTCACTGCAGCCCCTCAACCACCCAGGCTCAGTCGATCCTCCCACCTCAACCTTCCGAGTAGCTAGGACTGCAGGCGTGCGCCACCATGCTTGGATACTTTTTTTGTATTTTTTATACAGATAGGGTTTTGCCATGTTCCCAGGCTGGTCTTGAAATCGGCTCAAGTGACTCACCCACCTCAGCCTCCGGAAGTGCTGGGATTAGGGGTATGAGCCACTGCCCAGCCAATATCCAGGTTTTTAAAAAATCGTTTCACATGTCATCTAAGACTCCATGATCATCTCACTTGTGCTTGCATCTTCATTATCTTTTGCTGTCCTTTGCACTCGTGCATGCTTCAATAATAATGAATTTTAGAGTCCCAATAATTGGCACACAATTTCTTCATTCTGTCCTTTTATCCAGTCTCCTCTGAAGGCCCTCCCAAATTCCCATACCCTTTTTGCTAGCTGAATATTTGATCAAAATGTATTTCTAGAATATAGGTTAAATTCTGTTAAATATTATGGCAATTCTGGCAGAAAAAAAAAATCTAGATCTCACTGAAACCAGTATTCACAATCACAGAAATAGTCCTTAAGCTAGAAGGGAGATTGCAGGTCAGTGATTGCCTCTTTATGTTTGAAGATAATTCAAATTCATGTCATCAGAATTCTCATTTAGGCTCTTTCACAATGAATTATTGCTGTAACTTTGAGCAAATATTACAGACTGTATGGGTTTCATCTAAAAAACAAAGTATGAATAATCTGGAGTTTAACTTGAATATACACTGGTTCTACTGACTCAACTAAAACATATGCCAAAAAATATATTCTTTTTAATTATATAATTTTTTTGTAGAGATGGAGTCTCACTGTGTTGCCCAGCCTGGTCTAGAACTCCTCCTTGGCCTCCCAAAGTGCTGGGATTATAGGCGTAAGCCAGCCAAAAAATATTTTTGAACATTTTTGCTAGTGTGAACCATTTGACATTCACTATAGGTTTTAAAACTGATAAAGGCGATTATGAAGCAATGCTAGTCTTTTGAAATTTAAGATGTAAATGTGTTTTTGCTATTTACTTCCCAGATTTCTATATATACCAATGATTAATTGTAAGTACTAAAACTTATTTCAAAGCCAGTGTTACTTCTGTTAAATTTATTATCATTACTGGGCCGGGCGCGGTGGCTCAAGCCTGTAATCCCAGCACTTTGGGAGGCCGAGGCGGGTGGATCACAAGGTCGAGAGATCGAGACCATCCTGGTCAACATGGTGAAACCCCGTCTCTACTAAAGATACAAAAAATTAGCTGGGCATGGTGGCACGTGCCTGTAATCCCAGCTACTCAGGAGGCTGAGGCAGGAGAATTGCCTGAACCCAGGAGGCGGAGGTTGCGGTGAGCCGAGATCGCGCCATTGCACTCCAGCCTGGGTAACAAGGGCGAAACTCCGTCTCAAAAAAAAAAAAAAAAAAAAAATTATTATCATTACTATACCATAATTATGTTAAAAAAATAAAGGTAATATACCTCATGAAAATTTTCTGCTTCTCGCTCTTTAATTTCAAGGTCAATTGCTCTCCTTCTTGCTCGTTCTTCTTCTATTTTTTTCTGTATTTCTTTTTCAGACAACTGTCCAATTTTTTCAAACTTGCTTTTTAGATTTTTAGCTTGAATGGAGCCACTCCTTTTTAATTTGATCAATTCTTCATATTCTCTGCTCAATCCAAAGGTTTCATTTTCTTCCTCTTCCTTCAAAAAAAAAAAAAAAGTTTTTTGCTGTTGTTTTAGAGAGAGTCTCACTATGTTGCCCAGGCTGGCCTTGAATTCCTGTGTTTAAGCAGTCCTCCTGCCTCAGCTTCCCAAGGAGCTGGGACTAGAGGCATGTGCCACCATGCCTGACTCAAAAAAAAAAAAAAAAAAAAAATTGTATGTTATCAGCATATTAGTTTGCACAATAAATCATCTAAAAAGTATGCACTGTTTCTTACTTGAGACCAAAAATAAAGTTTAACCTCTTCTCTAAATGCAGTGTCCAAATTTACTAACTCAAAATGGTGCTACAGATTTAAGGCTTTATTGAAAACATCTTATTCTACTTAAAGTACTATTTTCATTAAGGAATATCATTAAAATCCTCTTATACTCCTTGATAACCTGCTAAAACTAAAATATTAATGACAAGATTAGTTTTTTCTAGGAGTTGTAGGAAAATCTTTGTTAGGGGAAAGCAAAAAGATAATTGAAAGAACACTGGACTAGGAGTCATATGAGTTCTAGTCCTGGCTCTGGTACTGTGCGGGCTTCTGTCCAGTTGCTTACTGACTGTAGGATTTAAGGTTTTTTTGTTGTTGTTTTTTGTTTTTTGAGGAGTCTCATTCTTGTTGCCCAGGCTGGATTGCAATGGCACAATCTCGGCTCACCGCAACCTACACCTCCCAGGTTCCAGAGATTCTCCTGCCTCAGCCTCCCAAGTAGCTGGGATTACAGGCATGTGCCACCACTCCCAGCCAATTTTTCTATTTTTAGTAGAAATTGAGTTTCTCCATGTTGGTCAGGTTGGTCTCAAACTCTCGATTTCAGGTGATCTGCCCAACTCAGCCTCCCAAAGTGCTGGGATTACAGGTATGAGTCACTGTGCCCAGCCTGATTTTCTTCATCTCTAAATAGATCCAGAGTATCTAAAATTTTTCCTACTTTTGATTTTATGATGGTCTTATAAAGTTAAATATCACTCAATACTTAAAAGCATTTCTGGAGATACAGTTTGGTAAAATGTATGCATTTCTCTACATATCACTTGTATCCTCAATTATATATTCTGCCAGCAAAGATAGAAAAGGAGTCAACTGGCCAGGCACAGTGGTTCACACCTGTACTCCCAACACTTTGGGAGGCCAAGGTGGAAGGATCACTTGAGCCCAGGAGTTCAAGGCCAGCCTGGGCAACAGAGCGAGAGATTATCTCTTCAATCAAACAATTCACTAGGTCTACAGCCATACCACCCTGAACATGCTGATTGATTGCGCCTGATCTTGGAAAAAAATTCGCTGGGTGTTGTGGTGTGTGCCTGTAGTCCCAACTACTTGGGAGGCTGAGGCAGGAAGATCACGTGAGCCCACAAGTTCGAGATTACTGTGAGCTATGAGTACACCACTGCACTCCAGCCTGATAGAGATTGCCTTTTTAAAAAGAAAAAAGTGCCGGGCGCGGTGGCTCAAGCCTGTAATCCCAGCACTTTGGGAGGCCGAGGCGGGTGGATCACGAGGTCAAGAGATCGAGACCATCCTGGTCAACATGGTGAAACCCCGTCTCTACTAAAAAAATACAAAAAATAAGCTGGGCATGGTGGCGTGTGCCTGTAATCCCAGCTACTCGGGAGGCTGAGGCAGGAGAATTGCTTGAACCCAGGAGGCAGAGGTTGTGGTGAGCCGAGATCGCGCCATTGCACTCCAGCCTGGGTAACAAGAGTGAAACTCCTTCTCCAAAAAAAAGAAAAAGAAAAAAAAAGGAATCAATCATGATTGAGCTCCAATTATTTAGTTAGTTCGTTCGTTAGTTTGAGACAGAGTATGACTCTGTCACCCAGGCTGGAATGCAATGGCACTATCTTGGCTCACTGCAACCTTTACCTCCTGGGTTCAAGCGATTCTCCTGCCTCAGCCTCCCTAGCAGCTGGAATTACAGGTGGTTCCACCACACCCACCCAGCTCTTTTTGTATTTTTAGTAGGGACAGGGTTTTGCCATGTTGGCCAGGCTGGTCTCAAACTCCTGACCTCAAGTGATCTGCCCAACTTGGTTTCCCAAAGTGCTGGCATGAGCCACTGCACCTGGCCAGTTCCAGTTCTTTATACCATTTTATCTTGTTTATTCAGATTCTTTCCCCCTAACTTTTCACAATTATTTCTAGTCTTTTGTAATATTTACTAAACCCTAATCCCACCATATGGAATGGTAAAATACTGTAGGTATTTCTGGTATACTTTTCCTGAAGACGACCTAAAGTTCTAGGCAGAGTTTTAAAAGGTGAAGGCAGAGGGTGTCATAGTCTGGGATGATGTGACATGAGGCTTTAATTTCTTGACTCAACCACGGGGTAAGAGGAAACATTCCTTTATGCTCTTTCCACTATGTGGGGTGAAAATACACAACTCATAAGGTACGTAGACCTTGAAATATTTTCCTACAGTACATTCCTGATATTTATTTATACATTTATATTTATATTCTCAGGGTCAGCTAGATAATTTGCCAGCCATACCTGGGGCAGAGAAGTAAAACTTCCCTTCCCACATGCCCACTGCCCCAACCCATAAATAACAGGCAACTTGAAAGAGATTGCAACCTCTATGTAGGGACAACTGGGTTCCTAGGTCATAAGTTCGTGAGAGGACCCCACCAAGTTGCCTGCCAAACATGCCATAGCATTGCCAGTCCAAGTCATGAGGCTACATCCTAGACCCTGACCCTGTTCATGTGCATGGCCTGGCCCTTGGCAGCGGCCAAGGCTGATGGTGAATACAGGCCCCCATTCTACCTTTCTCTTCCGCTGCCCATGCAACCTAGGCCACCCAGCCGGATGACAGCAGAGTCCAAAGAGGGAAGGAGGTTAGGCAGGGCCTTGGGAAAGGGGCTGCTGAGAACTCTTTCCAGTGAGGCAGGAAGACAGTATGAAGCTCTAGTGAGGCAAGGCTCCTATATAGGCACTAATTCAAAGATAAAATTAAGAATTTCAAGACAGTGACTGGGCGTGATGACTAATGCCTATAATCCCAGACCTGTGGGAGGCTCAGGTGGGAGAATCGCTTGAGCCCAGCAGTTTGAGACCAGTCTGGGCAACAAAGTGCGACCCCCCAATCTCTATGAAAAAAATTGCTAGGCCTATATGCATATACAGTTTTAAATATGCTTATTTATAACTATATATAAATATAAGTCATGCCTGTAATCTCAGCACTTTGGGAGGCCGAGGCAGGTGTATCACCTGAGGTCAGGAATTCGAGACTAGCCTGTCCAACATGGTGAAATCCCATCTCTACTAAAATACGAAAATTAGTGGGGCATGGTGGCTCATGCCTGTAATCCCCACTACTCAGGAGGCTGAGGCAGGAGAATCGCTTGAACCCAGGAGGTGGAAGTTGTAGTGAGCCAAGATCACACCACTGCACTCCAGCTTGGGCTACAGAGAAAGACTCCATCTCAAAAAAAATAAAATTTTAAATTAGCCAGACATGGTGGTACATGCACCTAAAGTCCCAGCTACACAGAAGGCTGAGGCACAAGGATCACTTGGGCACAGGAGGTAGAGGCTGCAGTGAGCCATGTTCATGTCACAAAAAAGAATTTCAAGACAGCAACCTCAGCATTAAACTACAAATGCAGGGCCTTCTGAACACGGAGGAGTCTTACGAATGCACAAGGTGCATGCCCATGAAGCATGAAGCTGGCACTGTATAGTCTATATATAATATATATTAAATATAAACATGCATATTTATAACTATTAAAAATATAAATAGTAATAGCTCAGTCATTTGCAAACCTAGACATTTTATAATTAAACTATCAAGGAAGGAGTAGTTATTACAAACTAGAAAGTACACATAATTATGCAGAAACCTGTAACATGTAAGTGCCTCATAGGAGTATGTCAAGTATCCTAAAGGTGAATAATAATACAAAATTATTCTAAGGTGATATAAGTAAAATATTTAGCTTAATAAATATGGGAAATATAAGTAAATATTTCTTAAAAATCTTACCTCTCCCATTTCTTGTCTCAGTTGTTCAAATTCTTGTTTCTCCATTTCTAGCTTATGCTTCCGTTCCTCCTCTGTTCGTCGTTTTTCTTCTTCCATCTTTTGTTTTAATAATTCTTCAAAATTAATTTCCAGTTTTCCCGGTGTAAGAGATTCTTGAGAGATTGTCTTATACATCTCTGGGGAGTCATCATCTACTACCTATTTAAAATAATTATTTTATCACTCTGCCCAGGATTATTCATACTAAAAAGGGGAATATTTCTAGAAGAAACTGAGATTTCTTAAATAGAGAGGTTTCACATTGAAGAAAGAACAAGAGGATTTAACAATAAACAAGGAAGTCTCAACACAGTGTTCAAAAAAAAGGCGAAGAATTAGAAAATATAAGACTGAAATATTTTGTGGTTACGAAGGAAATGGTAACCATCTATTCTCCATTACAATGTAGACAAATACTTTATTCATAACATGAGTACTTTGAATTAGACATTAAGATTTCCAAAGTTGAGAACATTTTTTAATTGGATTAAAATAACTCTCCATTCTAGAGAGTTAATTTCAGTTAATTGTGATTTTGTCTCATTGAATTACATAACCCATCGCAATCTCTTCATAATCAGGCAAAAATCACTCTTGGTGCTATGAGTTTATTGTTTATTTGCTGTTAGGCTAATTTTAAAGAAATAATAAGGCCAGACATGGTGGCTCACACCTGTAATCCCAGCACCTTATGCCTGTAATCCCAGAACTTTGGGAGTCCAAGGTAGGCAGATCACAAGGTCAGGAGTTCGAGACCAGACTGGCCAACATATCAAAACCCTGTCTCTATTAAAAACACAAAAATTAGCTGGGCATGGTGGCGGGCAGCTGTAATCTCAGCTACTTGGTAGGTTGAGGCAGGAGAATCACTTGAACCCGGGAGGTGGAGATTGCACTCCAGTCTGGGTGACAAGAGCAAGACTCGGTCTCAAAAAAAAAAAAAAGAAAATAATAATAGTTAATACTTAGAGCTGCTGAGTACAGTTATAAGCACTTTACATGTGTTTATTTAATCCTATAACCCTATGAAGTAGTTATTACTAATATCCTCATTTTACAGACAAGGAAACTGAGGCACTGAAAAGTAATTGTCTAAAGTCAACACAAATACTATGTGGCAATGCTGAGATTCAAACTTCAAAATCTTTCTAGTAAGATTATAGGTGAATCAAGGTGGCTCACACCTGTAATCCCACCACTTTGGGAGGCTGAGGTGGGCGGATCATGAGGTCAGGAGTTTGAGACCAGCCTGACCAATATGGTGACGCCCCATCTCTACTAAAAATACAAAAATTAGCCAGCTGTAGTGGCTGGCACCTGTAATTCCAGCTACTCAAGAGGCTGAGGCAGGAGAATTGCTTGAACCCAAGAGGCAGAGGTTGCAGTGAGCCGAGATCACACCACTGCACTCCAGCCTGGGCAACAGAGTGAGACTCCATCTCAAAAAAAAAAAAAAAAGATTGTAGGCCAGGCACAGTATAACATAAACCTCTGCCCTGAACTGTGACCCCGTGGTTCCGTGGTTGAAATAGATATAGGGGAATGAGAGAGGCAAGGGGTACTATTCATTTGCTCCAAGTTTTATTAAGGCAATCCAGGGTTTACCACAGAACTATTTCAACTCAGAAACAATGTTTAAGTGGTTTATAATTCAAAGATTGCCTGAAATTTTTAAATTGTATATATGCATGAACTAAGCTATAGTGTGAAATTATAATACTTATTCCTGGATAAATTACAATACTTATTCATGGATAAGAAAACAATATAAATGAAAGAAGAAGTTTTTCTCTCTTCTCTTGATAGAGAAATGTCTTTAGGAAACTCGGTTTTGGTTTAATGCAGTTTTCTCCCCTGCATATCTTCCACTAGCAAATCATGGTAAAAAGGCAGTTTGGGCCTACAAATCTACCCCCAGGACTAGATCTTTTAATCTTCACAGTTACTTCTCTTCTACCGCTTCTACACCTTCTTATTTTCCAAAAATTAAGTGCATTCGCAATGTCTATAGGATTTTTATCTAGAAACCATATATGAATCAGGGATTACCTACGGCACCCAAGATTTCAACATCACTTGTTCCATCAACATTTACTGGAGGTCTGTTATGCTTGGCATTGTACCACATGTTTGATGAACAGTCTTGGCTTCATGGAGTGGAAAAGACAGCCATAACTATAACAATACAGGATTAGTGCTATGATAGAAGAGTATTAAATGCTGTAAGAATTCATGGAAGAAGGTGAAAAGTTGTGAACTGGAGTTAGCAGAGCATGGTGAAAGGAGTGAGGGATGTTTCAGTGTGAAGGCTGAGAGATTCTCACCTTGAAGAAATGCAAACAAATTCAGCATATTTGGAACAAAAAGCAGATTAAGGAAGAATCAAGAAGTGAAATGGGAGCAATATATAAGAGCAAGACTATAAAGAAATTTGTTTTAGAAGTTTTTGGATTTTTGCTTAAGGTAAGTGGGAAAATATTAAGCAAAACAGTAACAAAACACAATCAAAATTTCTTTCTTTCTTTCTTTTTTTTTTTTTTTTGAGACGGAGTTTCGCCTTTGTTACCCAGGCTGGAGTGCAATGGCGCGATCTCGGCTCACCACAACCTCCGCCTCCTGGGTTCAGGCAATTCTCCTGCCTCAGCCTCCTGAGTAGCTGGGATTACAGGCACGTGCCACCATGCTCAGCTAATTTTTTGCACCATTTGTAGAGACGGGGTTTCACCATGTTGACCAGGATGGTCTCGATCTCTTGACCTCGTGATCCACCCGCCTCGGCCTCCCAAAGTGCTGGGATTACAGGCTTGAGCCACCGCGCCCGGCTTCTTTCTTTCTTTTTAAAGATTACTCCTGGCCTTATAGGAAAGAATGGGTTACAGGTAAGAAAGCAAATTAATTAGGAGTTGGCCCTAACAGTAACTTGGATTATAGTAGTGGCAGTGGAAAATGGGGGAAAAACTGATAGATTTTAGAGTGATTTTAGGAAAAACTGATAGATTTAGGAGCTAGAATAAATGAGACTTAGTGACTGGTTGTACGACAGGCATGAATAAGAAGATGGAAGCGTTTCAGGCGTCCAGGTTTCTGATCTGAGCATCTGTGTAGGCGATAGGCAATAAAACCAAATAAACACTTTGACATATGTGTCTGAAGCTCACCCATACAGAGGAAGAAAACCAGATTAGGGTATCACCGAAGCCAATTACAATGTTTCAAGAAGGAGATGAAGTGCTCAAGCCTCAAATTGCTTGAGAATCATTGGTCAGATAACTGTGCATTTTACAAACATAAAACTGGTATAGCGAGTACAGTCATAACCTTGTGACAGTTAAGTTAGGTCCCAATTCTCAATAGTGATGAGTGAGCATTTTGGAGAGAGAAATGATTCTGATTAAATGACTCTGGTCATTTAATATAAAGTGGGTGGGATGAAAATTGAAAAGAAAGAAGGAAAGGAAAGAAAGAAAGGAATAAAGGAGGGGAAAAGGGAGGGTGGGAAGGAGGTGGGGAAAGAATGGTGAGGAAGAAAGGAAAAGTGAGGGGAGGAAACTCGCTCCTTCTTCCTTGGATACTTAGTTCTAAAAAACATGGCTTCCCAGAGAAGGGAGATTGTGTTCAATCCTTTGTGCCAAGCATGGTAATTTAATCTGAATTTTCTGAACACCGAATTGAAGCAAATACCTTCAACCAACTGGTGTTATTCCATGGGAGACTTTAAAACATTTCTACTCTTGGCACAGATTCCAGAAATAATAGGGTATTCTCTAAAGCCTAATGATTTCTGTTAACATACTCTCAAAGCCGAGTTCTAATAGCATTCTCCAGTTAGCTTCTGTCTTACCATGTTTCTCCTTGCTTCAGCAAATGCCTTCTTTTCTTCCTCTATTCTCCTTCTGGCTTCTTCTTCTGCTTTCCTTTTTTCATCTTCTCTCCTTTGCCTTTCTATTTCTTCAAAACTAAGTTTGAGTTTACCAGGGCGGTACTCTTTAAAAATTTTTGCTATGTCTTGATTTTCCTCTTCTTCATTTACCTAACCAAATAAACAATTCATTACTAAGAATTGAGATTCATCAGAAAATGGAATGAATTCTCAGTCAAAAGGCACAGAATTAGCCACTTCACACAATACTGTTTCAATGCCCTTAATTTATTTGACCAAAATCCCCTTCCTTTTTAAAGATGTCTTATATGATAAAATATTCAAATATGGAGAAATTCCATATAAAGATGTACTCAAGTTAAAACTTTCAAGTAAGTCAAATTTCTATAGATAAAATTGAATATGTAAACATTTTTAGCCTGGTGTGGCGGCTCACACCTGTAGTTCTAGAACTTTAGGAGGCAGGAGGATCGCATAAGCCTAAGAGTTCAAGACCAGTCTGGGCAACATAGCAAGACCTCATCTCACATAAAACCAAAAAACACATTATAGCCAGGCGTGGTGATGTGCCCGTAGTCCCAGCTACTCGGAAAGCTGAGGTGGGAGGATCACATGAGCCCAGTAGGTTGAAGCTGCAATGAGGGGTTACTATTGAGTGTTAACTTTCCCAGAATAAATATAAAATGTATATGTGTGTACTTAAATTGGGGTTCAAGTATATTTACGCAGAATCTCTTTGGTAGCGAAATAAAGTTCTCATTTTGTAATTTGTGTAGTTTTTTTTACTGTGAACTATGGTGCCTTATACTAATCAGATGAAAGATTATCTAGAACTATTTTATATAAAATTCAAGTTTTATGATTTTATCATTAAAGTTTTAATTTATTATTTAGTTAATTATAATATTAACTGAAATGTATTATTTATTTAATACTATTTCTTTATTAAATTGTCCACCAGAAATATCTAAAATGTGTAGATATTATGCAGCTATACCCGAGTAATATTTTCAAATATCTAGAAAATTAAATTTTTTGATATATAATTCTTAGAACATCATTCAAGAAAGCTGATCAAGGAAGTTCTATAACTTTAAAATTATAAATATTCCATATTTAGATTTTTTTTTTTTGAGACAGGGTCTCACTCTGTCACCAAGGATAGAGTCCAGTGGCTCATTCATAGTTCACCATAGCAATCCTCTCACCTCAGACCCTGGAGAGCTTAGACTACAGACGTGTACCACCACACCTGGCTAATTCTTGCATTTGTTTTTGTAGAGACATGGTTTCCATATGTTGCTCACACCGGTCTGGAACTCTTGGGCTCAAACGATCTGCCTGCCTCAGCCTTCCAAAGTACTGAGATTACAGGCATGAGCCACCATGCCTGGCCCATTTTTAAATCTTAAAATGAGGTTTGGAATCAGTGTTTTCTTATTTCAATTTTACTTTTTATTGATAAATTTGTTAATACCATAAAAATAATTAAAAATTTCCAAGAACTTAGTATATATGACAAACCTCATTTTAAGTGCTTCCTAGATATTAACTTGTTTAACCATTTAAGAAATAGGCATTTAAAAAAATCCAAGTCATTATGGAAGTTAAAAAAAAAAGAAGTAAGCACTTTAATTTTTACCATTTTACAAAAGAAGAAACTAAGAGAGAGAGATTTAATTACTTAACACAGCGAAAGATTAAAACACTTGTCCATGGTTGCACAATGGTTGATATCTGAATCTAGACAATCTGGCTCCACAATCTATGCTCTTAACTACCACACCACACACGCACGCACACACACACACACACACACACACACACACAAAGAAGCATGCATATAAATACACACACACACACATACACACAAACACATACACTTTAAAAGGTAAACCATATTCTATAGTAAACTTATTTTGATATGTTCAAACAATTGAAAAACTGGAAGGCTGAGGCCAGGTTTACACTTATAATCAGGTTTGAAAATGTACTGCACCCATGTCATGAAGTACATCACAGATTTCACTGACAAATGAAGGAAACCAGGTTCATTGAGTAATTATTTTGCATATTTATATATTAATAAAAATTTATAAAATAAAAATTTAAAGCATATTGGGTAAAATGTCCCAGAGTTGTAACTGGAAAACAGTACAGATTTTTTTTTTTTTTTTTTTTTTTTTGACACAGTCTCACTCTGTCACCCAGGCTGGAATGCAATAGCATGATCTCGGCTCACTGCAACCTCCATCACCTGGGTTTAAGTGATTCTCATGCCTCAGCCTCCCATGTAGTTGGGATTACAGGCATGCACCACCACAGCTGGCTAATTTTTGTATTTTTAGTAAAGACGTGATTTCACCATGTTGGCCAGGCTGGTTTCAAACTCCCAACCTCAGGTGATCTGACTGCCTTGGCCTCCCAAAGTGAAGGGATTACAAGCGTGAGCCACCGTGCCTGGCCTGGAGGTATTTTACATATGGAATATGTATACCATTTGAAAATCAGCCCTTCTGCCTGGCGCAGTGGCTCACACCCGTAATCCCAGCACTTTGGGAGGACGAGGCGGGTGGATCACCTGAGTCTGGGAGTTTGAGACCAGCCTGACCAACCTGGCAAAACCCCGTCTTTAAAAAAAAAAGAAAATCAGCCCTTCTGTATATAAAAATCTCTTTGATTTTAGAGTAATGAAACTTACCTAAAGCCAGCTACCTTCATTAATATTAATTGTAAGGTTTAAATATATAGATTTACCATTTGCCGCCTTGCTTCTTCAAAAGCACGCTTCTCTTCTTCTAAACGTTTTCTTGCTTCCTCTTCAGCTTGCTTCTTCCGGTTTTCTTGTCTTTGCCGCTCCAATTCTTCAAAAGTTAGTTTCAACTTTCCAGGAGAAAGTGACTCTTTTTTTGCTTCACTTTCTATTTCATCATCCTAAGAAAACATTATGAAAACTCACCTTTCAGTCATAAAGAAAAATGCTAACTTAACTCAACTGCCTTGATTTGTTTCTTAAAAAAAAAAAAAAAATTACCATGACCAATGAAAGACACTTTGCTTCCTTGAGAGATCGTCGTTGTTCTTCATATCTTATTCTTTTATCTTCCTCATACTTGATCCTTTCTTTCTCTTCATGTTCTTTTTCTAGATCCTCAAAATTCTTTTTCATTTTTCCAGATGTTTTATATGATTTGACAGGTACCACAGTTATAAGTAGTGAATCATCTCCTTCCTATTTTATAAAATAGATAATTAGTATATTTCTTCTTAATCAAAATTGGGTTTCATGGGACTTTAGCTCCATAATAGGTGAATTCCATTTCATTGTCATCAATGTTATTATGAAGAACAAACAATTTTTTCAGATTATTGTTAAATATCTCATCTAAATTATTTGTGCATTATGAGTTAATCTTACTGAAGTCCATTGCTGACGAGGTTCAAGAAGTATTCTATTTCCTAAAAGATGGAGTTAACACAGCTGTTCAGATAACAAAACTGCAGTGACGTTGCCTGAATTAAGCTATTTTTGTGCACCAATTCACAAAATGTGCATGTGAATGTACTCTAAATCAATTTGATGGTGGATCAATTGAGTTTAAACCCCAAAAAAGTTTCTTCATATGATTTTTTTCTCTATGCAAGCTTTTAAATACTTAATGAAACTAATATTTAGTGAGAAAAAAACACAGTATTTCCAAGTGATTTATTAAACATTTATATAATAGATAAAACTCTCTGGTATTTGATTGTATTAAAATAGTTTATATTTATTATTTAATTTATTTTAATTATAAAATCTATTGTTGCCTCTGACTTTTCTAAAAACTAAGAAGAGTTATGAAATGAAACACGTGGCCCTGAGATAAAATTGCTCCCAATTTATGGGCTGTAGTTTTAGGCACACCATCAAATTGAAAGATTTTTAACTTACTCTGTTAGATAAAAGAAATGACTAAAATTTTTGTGGTGGTTGAACATTTTTTCATGGAAACAGATACTGCACTCTATACTATTAAAGGAAAACCAAAACATAAATTCTCAGGACCTCTGAGGAAAGAAGACAAATGATGAAAATAAAATCGCCTTTTTATAAATGTTAGCTTTCAACAATCACAGCTGTTAGTAACAGTTCAAAAAATATGTTGTCTTGGCAGAGTATCTCAAACTGAGACTAGTAAGACTTGTCTTTCTAACCTAACTATGAAAACAAAACATACTTTTCTTTAAAAACACTGAGCTATAGTGTTTGAAAGTGCAAAAGTATGATCTTGCTTCGCAGAACATACTTTTCTGTTGTTACTGCTATATTTATAATAAAAATAATAAAAGCCCTTTTAATTTTTTCTTATACTAAAAGATAATTTGTGAATCAGATAATTTTAGGTGAATGTTTCATTAAAGGAAATGTCCGTTTACCTCTGATGTTGATTCAGTTCCCGTATTGTTTATGTCCTCAATCTATTGAATGAGAATTTCATATCATTACATTACATCAGATTTCTACTTTTTGCTTTTAAACATACAACTGAAAAGTAATTTAGTTATGACTTATAGTAAATTTTCAAATTTATAATTTTTGAAATATGTTTGTTGTTTCAAATAAGCCAAATATGTCCTTTATATTTGTTGTTGCATATTGATATCAATATCAATATCAATATTCAGGAAACATACTAAGAAAACAATCAGGCTGGGAGAAGTGGCTAATGCCTGTAATACCAGCACCTTGGGAAGCCAAGGTGGGCAGATCACTTGAGCCCAGGAGTTCAAAACCAGCTTGGGCAACACGGCAAAATCTCTTCTCTACAAAAAGTACAAAAATTAGATGGGCGTGGTGGCACACACCTGTGGTCCCAGCTACTCTGGAGGCTGAGGCAGGAGGACCACTTGAGCCCAGGAAGTTAAGGCTGCAGTGAACTATGTTCATGCCATTGCACTCCAGTGTGGGTGACAGTGAGACCCTATTTCAAAAGGAAAAAAAAAAAAAAGAATAAAAAATTAAGGTAAAGCCTACCTTTGTAATACAGAAACTGAATAACAGACCAAACTCTTATGACCAGGCTGTTGAGACCAAGACACACAGAAACACTTCTCTGTTCTTCGTCACTACCCCAGCAAAAGGAAAACCTATACATTGCAATCTAATACTTGTTATGATTATATTTTACAACATAAATATAGGGAAAAAATAAAACTGATACAATAACAGTGCAGTGAAAGATGTAGGCTGGTTTATTTATTTATTTATTTGGGACAGAGTCTCACACTGTTGCCCAGACTGGAGTGCAGTAACACAGTCTCGGCTCACTGCAACCTCTGCGTACCAGGTTCAAACAATTCTCCTGCCTCCGCCTCCTGAGTGGCTGGAACTACAGATGGACACCATCATGCCCGGCTAATTTTTGTATTTTAGTAGAGACAGGGTTTCACCATATTGGCCTGGCTGGTCTCGAACTCCTGACCTCAGGGGATCTGCCCACGCCCAGCTGGTATAGAATAGTTTAGAAGGGAAAATAATTTTCTCTATATGTTGGCTAGATCCAAGTAGGAAAGCTCCTCATTTAAAAAGTGAGAGCTTGGCTGGGCACAGTGGCTCACACCTGTAATCCCAGTACTTTGGGAGGCTGAGGCAGGCAGATTACGAGGCCAACAGATGGAGATCATCCTGGCCAACATAGTGAAACCCCGTCTCTACTAAAAATACAAAAACTAGCTGGGCGTGGTGGCACACGCCTGTAGTCCCAGCTACTTGGGAGGCTGAGGCAGGAGAATCACTTGAACCCAGGAAGCAGGCACAGCAAGAATCCATCTCAAAAAAAAAGGTGAGAGCTCAATTTACCCATTACTCATAAGAACTACCATTAGTTTAGCTATAGAGGAAAAGTAATGTAATGATCTTAGCAAACAGAATTGAGAGAAGATAGGTGATTTAAATAATACAATGTTTAAGATCTCAGAAAAAGAAAACATAAGCAATGGGAAAATGGGAACCATTAGAAAAGTAAGAATTCACATGGTTTATTGTTTTAATTTGACTTTTAAAACCAATGAGAGTCTGATTAAAGAGTTCATTAACACCTCATGCAGTGTAAGGGAATTTTGTTTACTCTAGTTCATACTAGGAACTAGGCTAAGTCCCTGTTCGCTTATCATCACACCTTTCTATATTTTCTCTCAATAAAGAAATAATACATTTTACTAAGATAACTGGCCAGGCATGGTGGATCACATCTGTAAACCCAGCATTTTGGGAAGCTGAGGCAGGCTGACTGTTTGAGCCCAGGAGTTCAAGACCAACCTGGGCAACATGGCAAAACCCTGTCTCTACAAAAAAAAAAAAAAAAAAAAAAAAAAAAATTAGCTGGGTGTCATGGCACATGCCTGTAGTTCCAGTTACTAGGGAGGCTGAGGTGGGAGAATCACTTGAGCCTGGGAGGTGAAGGCTGCAGTGAGCCATCAGCCTGCCCACTGTACTCTAGCCTGGGAGACAGAGCAAGACCCTGCCTCAAAAAAAAAAAAAAAAAAAAAAAAAAAGACACCTAATTTCTTGAAAAATAAATTATTCTGAGCAAAGTTTGTTAAAAATAAATCTATTTTATACTTTAATAGTTTATTTTCATAGTTTTATTAAGAATTATTTTGCATACTATAAATATATATATATATATATATATATATTTTTTTTTTTTTTTTGAGACGGAGTTTCGCTCTTGTTACCCAGGCTGGAGTGCAATGGTGTGATCTCAGCTCACCGCAACCTCCGCCTCCTGGGTTCAAGCAATTCTCCTGCCTCAGCCTCCTGAGTAGCTGGGATTACAGGCATGTGCCACCATGCCCAGCTAATTGTTTGTATTTTTAGTAGAGACGGGGTTTCACCATGTTGACCAGGATGGTCTCGATCTCTCGACCTTGTGATCCACCCGCCTCAGCCTCCCAAAGTGCTGGGATTACAGGCTTGAGCCACCGTGCCCGGCTATAAAATATTTTTTAAATAATTTGTTACAGAATTACTTGTTAACACTGACATGCTAGAAATGAAGGTTTTGCTGAATTATATATTGTACTTAAAATCTTTAATGAATCTATAATAAAATAATTACAAAATACTTCTCTTTTTTAAAAATACTGACAACTCCTCTATAAATCATGTTGATCTCTCAGTAAAAAAATCCAGGAGGCTAGACATGGTGTTCATGCCTGTATTGCCCCAAATTTGGGAGGCCGAGGTGGGAGAATCTCTTGAACCCAGGAGTTTGAGCCCAGCCTGGGTGACAGAGTGAGATCCCATCTCTGAAAAAAAAAAAAAAATTTTTTTTTATAGATTTTTTTGTAGAGACAGCAGGGTCTTGCTCTGTCACCCAGGCTTGAGTGCAGTGGTGCAATCTTGGCTCACTGCAACCTTCGCCTCCTGAGCTCAAGCAATCATCCTCCCACCTCAGCCTCCCAAGCAGGTGGGACTACAGACATGCACCACCACGTTTGGCTAATTTTTTTAAGTTTTTGTAGTGATGGGGTTTTGCTATATTGCCCAAGTTGGTTTGGAGCTCCTCAGCTTAAGCAATCTACCTGCCTCGGCCTCCCAAAGTGCTGGTATTACAGGTGTGAGCCACCACACTTGACCAAAAATTTTTTTTAAAATTAGCCAACCATGGTGACACACATCTATAGTCCCAGCTACTTAAGAGACTGAGATAGGAGGATCACTTAGCCCAGAAGGTTAAGGCTGCAATGAGCTGTGATTGCACCACTGCACTCCAGCCTGGGCAACAGAGCAAGACTCTGTCTTAAAAAAATAAAAATAAGCAGGGCATGGTGGCTCACGCCTGTAATCCCTCAGGAGGTCGAGGCAGGTGGATCACAAGGTCAGGAGTTCAAGACCAGACTGGCCAACATGGTGAAACTCTGTTTCTACTAAAAAATACAAAACTTAGCTGGGCATGGTGGCTCGTGCCTGGATTCCCAGCTACTTGAGAGGCTGAGGTAGGAGAATTCCTTGAACCAGGAACCTGGAGGCAGAGGTTGTAGTGAGCCGAGATCGTGCCACTGCACTACAGCCTGAGCTACAGAGCAAGACTCTGTTTGTTTATTTGTTTGTTTTTAAGAGCTGAGTTCTCACTATGTTGCCCAGCCTGATTCCCAGATCCTTATTAGCTTATGGTAAAATAATAAAATATGCTTGAAGATTTTTTTTTCCCTCTTCTTTGCTCACTTAACCACTACCAAAAGAAGAAAACATTGTACAATACTTTTTTTTTTTCAACAAACAAGGAGAAGGATAAATCTAAGTGGCCATGGTGTCAGTATATTCAGAGAGATCAGATATTCAGAAGTTGTTATAGTGTTGACTTTCAGAAGCTACCATTGAAGAGCTGCTTCCTATTTTTTTTGCTTTATAAAAAAGCAAAACTCCTTTTGCTTCTTCCCAAATCAATTTGCTTCTCTTCCTTTTCTTTTCAACACTTCCTTCTCTTCCCTCGCCAGTAACTTCTTTTTTCTAAGCTGATGGACTTTAACTCTACTCATCAGAGTATCCTCAAAGATAAACAGATAATATCAAGTTAAGATTCTTCCCCAAATTGATTCTAACATCCAGTATACCTACTATGAGTATATCTACTATTAATCCCCAACCACCCCTTCACCACATTTTTTTTTTTTTAAGAGACAAGGTCTCTCTGTTGCCGGGGGAAGTGCAGTGAAGTGATTATAGCTCACTGCATCCTCAAACTCCCCAGCTCAAGCAGTCCTCCTGCCTCAGCCTCCCAAACTGCTGGGATTACAGGCATGAGTCACCATGTCCATCTCTTGTTTTTAATTAATTATAAGATCCTAGAATCTCCAAATCCTGTAGGTCACCGAGACATTCAGCTACCCTCGACTCAGGAATCCTTTTTATGGCATTATTGCATATGGATTTATACAAATAAATTATACAAACAAATATGGATTTATACAAATTATGCAAACAAATATTAAAACTCTTTTTGACTACATATGCCATACTTTGCTCCTTATATTCAAAGATACATTATATTATATTAGAGTGGAGTGGAAAATGTACTTAATTAGATTTGAAAATTAAACTTTACATATTTACAAGATGAAATTACTAGGCCAGGCGCTGTGGCTCACACTTGTAACCACTGTGGGAGGCCAAGGTGGGTGGATCATCTGAGGTCAGGAGTTCAAAACCAGCCTGGCCACCATGGTGAAACCCATCTCTAGTAAAAATGCAAAAATTAGCCAGACATGGTGACACATGCTTGTAATCCCAGCTACTCAGAAGGCTGAGGCATGAGAATCGCTTGAACCTGGGAGACAGAGGCTGCAGTGAGCCAAGATCGTATCAGTGTACTCCAGCCTGGGTAACAAGAGCGAAACTCCATCTCAAAAAAAAAAAAAAAAAAAAAAAAAAATTGCCCTGTTGAATTTCAGACTTTTGTGAGCCCTGTAACGCCTTTGTTTTAGGCAATTTCTCCCATTTGAAATGGCTGTATTTACCCCATACCTGTACCCACCTTTGCAAATCCAGGGTAAATACATTTCTTTAGTATGCAAGTATAGCATATGCTTTGCTTTCATTGTCACTTTTCTTTTCAGAAAGGTAATGGAAACCTGAAGGGAGCATTGCAAAAAGACTGAATGCACTCAATGTATGGCTTTAAAAGAGCAGCTGATATGGTTTGGCTCTGTATCCCAACCCAAATCTCGTCTTGAATTGTACTCCCATAATTCCCATGTGTCGTGGAAGGGACCCGGTGGAAGATAATTTGAATAATGGGGATGGAGGCAGTTTCCCTGATACTGTTCTTGTGGTACTGAATAAGTCTCATGAGATCTGATGGTTTTATCTGGGTTTCCTCTTTTGCCTCTTCCTCATTTTCTCTTAACCCCACCATGTAAGAAGTAGCTTTCACCTACTGCTATGATTTTGAGGCCTCCCCAGCCATGTGGAACTGTAAGTCCAGTTAAACCTCTTTGCTTTCCCAGTCTCAGGAATGTCTTTATCAGCAGCGTGAAAACAGACTAATATACCAGCATTTAAAGGTATTGTTATTAGGAGACCACCATTTTGTTAGGTACTTATGGATAGTTTATATGTGAAATTGCCTTACATCTTTGTACAGTCCTTTAACTTGTAAAGAAAAATAAGGAATGTAGATAGGGTGAGGAATGTGGATAGAATGGTAGATTGTGTATGACACAAATCATCTCACTATTCTACCTTAAAATAGGCATATTCTGCCCATATCCTTCTAGGCATCCGATGTTAAATATTTTTCCTTAAGATCTGTTCAGGCTAGCTGCCTTTTTTTTTTCTTTGAGACAGGCAGGGTCTTGCTCTGTCACCCAGGCTGGAGTGCAGTGGCATGATCTTGGCTCACTGCAACTTCCACCTTTCAGGCTCAAGCGAACCTCCTACCTCAGCCTTCTGAATAGCTGGGACTACAGGCACTCACCACCATGCCCAGCTAATTTTTGTATTTTTTGTAGAGAAGGGATTTTGCCATGTTGCCTGGGCTGATGTGGAAGCGATCCACCTACGCTGGCCTCCCAAAGTGCTGAGATTACAGATGTGAGCCACCATGCTTGGATGATTAGCTGCTGCTTAATAGGTTTATGTTATATTGAAATATTTTAATGAGGCAACATACTGATTAGTTTCACTTTGCACAGTTAGTTTCAGAAACAAATACCAACTTAATCTTTAGTGATACCTGCTCAGCCCTTTTCGCTAATTCACGCTGTATTTTCCTCTTTTCTAGCATATCCTGCTCAATTCTGCGTTTTCGTTCCTCCTCCGTTCTCTTCCTTTGTTCCTCTTGTCTTTGTTTCTCCATTTCAGCAAATCTACCCTTAACAGTCCCTAAGAACATATGAAAAAAAGTTTGATACTTTGCTATATTTGTATTTTGCAATTTAATTGACAATTTACCCCTCAAGCTTCTTACCTGTCAGTTTTGGAACATAAGCCTTTTCTACTTTAGAAGACGCGTCCTCCTCATCATCAGAAGCAAGCATTTCTTTAATCTAGATGGTTAAACAAATTGATGTGAGCACATGTCCAAAAATTAGACTAAATCATATTATATGCAGAGTTTAAATTAGGTTACAAATACAGAAAAGTATTTTAGTTATAGTTAATATGAAATGTGGTTAACGTGAGTAAATAAAATTTAAATTAAAAAATGAAAATGAATATTTTCATGAGAATAAAGTAAAATAAAATAACCTCCTGCTTTCTCCTGTTCCATTCTCTCTCTCTAATATATTGTTCTTTTCTTCTTTGCTTTTCGTCTCTAGATCTCCTTTGATTTCTTTCTTCCCTGGCTCTCTGCATGGCTTCAAACTTATCCTTTACATCACCCTTGCCAAGTTTTGGTACATAGGTTTTTGGGACAGGTTTAGATGAAGAAAGCAGAATCTTCATTAGAAGAAAATAAAGAAAAGAAAGTTAACAAAAACAATAGGAAAAATTAGATAAAGAGAGATAAGAATAAGCAATATAAAAAATATGCATTGAAACAGAAAACAGAAATGTTTGTACCCTTTACTTGACCATCACAATCTGATTAGATACTTTCTAAAACCTAACTATGAAAAATCACATTACAAAAAATATGAGAGTAGAAGTTTCACTGTTATATAGTAATGAAGTCCATTTTGTGGGTAGCATTCCACTGAAGCTGAAAGTCAGTAAAATATAAAAATCAAATTCTGAATTCTAACTAAAAATAACTGTATTTTATTGTCTAACTCCATTATTAAAGATTCAGATTTGATATCACTTGCTAAAAAGATACCAAAACTAATTTCAATAAATTTGGTGATGCTGAAAACCAAAAGTTTAAGCTTTAAAGTTCAAACCCTAATTCACATTTTACACCCTTCCTGGTTCCTGTATCTAATATAAGCAAAACTGAAGGCCAGTCCTTTAATCCTTCTTTCTGGCTGAGGTACACCATGGTCTGTGTGCACAAGCAGTGATTTATGTTGTTACTATTACTTCCCATCTATAACTTCCTCAAAGCACATGAAAAATGTGTAAGAAGGCTGTATCATTCTACATAGGGTGGGCTCTAAGAGAAGTTCCATATGGCAACAGAGCTTCCCAAAGACTGGGAATCTGGTAGAAGACTGAAGAAATTATTTTCCTCCACTCTAAAACCAGGAAAGCAAATTATTTCATCACTTTGAAAATTACGCTGATCTCTCAATGAAATTTCAGTAAATAAAATGTTTGCCTCAGAACGCCAAACTCTTTTTCCTAGTGATAATGGCAATTGCTTACTTAATCTGTGGCACACCCAGCCTATATTTTGTAAACTATTATGTATCATTGGCCATTTACAGGTTGACTTTATAATTCTGAGGTATCAGCAACTGAGGTCATCTTACTGCAACTCTCAGTATCTACAGTCAAGAACTAGAAAAAAGCTAAAAATTAAAAAAAAACAACAAACAAAAAACTAAGGCACTAAAAAGGATCCTTACCTAAGAGTGCTTTCTCCTGTGAGTATAGGTCGAACTTTGTTTTAATACCAAACTAATAATTTCTAAGAGTTATCAAGAACAAAACATTTAAAATTCTACTCAGAATGCTAGGTATCACATCCACTTCACTATCATTCACAAATTTAGTACTCATGCTTCATAGAATTTCCTAGAATCCAAATGAAAATACTAGCTCAAGACCAGCTGCTGAATTGTAGCTCTTGTTTTACATCTTGCCATTATGTTATTAATTATAAACTCCTAAATATAACCTTTCCACCAAATGATTGTCCTTTCAGCAATTCTACAGTCAACTCTACATTTCCTTCTTTTATTTTTTTTTGCTTTTGAGACTTACCTCAGCCTTTTGGGAAATATCATTCATGTTTGCTCTATGTGGTCTTGGGCTGATTATGAAGCTCTGTATATTTTTGTACCTGAAAAAAAATTTAATATTGTATAATAATTTCTAATTATTTTTAATATATTATGTATTTTTATAAATAGAAATAGCAGTTAATTGCCCCTCAAAACATACTAATATAATCCAAGCAAGTAATAAATTGTGATAACCTTTAGCTCTTTTCCCCAAGATTCGCGGTATAGAAAATATAAGGTGTATGATGTTACAAGATCCCTGAAAGTTGTTGATCCCCAATAGCTTGATGAACATATCAAGTTCACTTGAAAAGAATGTGTATTCCGCAATTATTGAGTTTATTAGTCTATAAATACTAAGGTAGTTGATCATGTTTTAGATCTGTATTTTTACTAATTTTTGGCTAGTTCTATCAATCTTCAACTATGTAGATCTATGTAGATTTTTTTTTTTTTAAAGACAGAGTCTCGCTCTGTAGCCCAGGCTGGAGTGCAATGGCACAGTCTCAGCTCACTGAAACCTCCACCTCCCAGGTTCAAGCAATTCTCCTGCCTCAGCCTCCCGCGTAGCTGGGATTACAGACCTGACCTGTGCCACCAAGCTCAGCTAATTTTTGCATTTTTAGTAGAGACAGGGTTTCACCATGTTGGCCAAGCTGGTCTTGAACTTCTGACCTCAAGTGATACACCCAACTCGGCCTCCCAAAGCACTAGGATTACAGGCATGAGCCATTGGGCCTGGCCAGAATTTTTTTTCTCCCTTTAATTCTGGTGTTTTTGTTTTATGTAATTTCAGGTTTAATTGCATACACATTAAGATTATATCTTCTTTTTGAATTGACCCTTTCAGTAGTATGTTTTTTTGTTTTTGTTTTTGAGACAGAGTCTCACTATCACCCCAGGCTGGAGGGCAGTGGTGCAATCTCAGCTCACTACAACCTCTGCCTCCCAGGTTCAAGCAATTCTCCAGCCTTAGCCTCCTGAATAGGTGGGATTACAGGCAGCACACCAGCAAGCATAGCTAATTTTTTGTGTGTTTTCTGTAGAGACAGGCTTTCACCATGTCAGCCAGGCTGGTCTCGAACTCCTGACCTCAAGTGATCCGCCTGCCTTGGCCTCCCAAAATGCTGGTGTGAGCCACTGTGCCTGGCCTGCTAGTATGAAATTTCTCTCTTCTTACCTCGTTGTCTTAAACTTATATTAAAATAGTCACACCAACTTTCTTTTTATTTATTTATTTAGAGAGAGCATCTTGTTGTGTCTCCTCGGCTGAAGTGCAGTGGCACAATGACAGCTCACTGCACTCTTGAACACCTGGGCTCAAGCAATCCTCCTTCCTCAGTCTTCTAAGTAGCTGGAACTACAGGCATGCACCACCATGCCCAGCTTTTTTTTTTTTTTTTTTTTTTTTTTCCTATAGAGATGGGATCTTACTGTGTTGCTTAGACTGATTTTGAAACCCTGGGCTCAAGCAATTCTCCCACCTCGGCCTCCAGAAGTTCTAGAACTACAGGCATGAGCCACTGCACCTGGCCCCCAACTTTCTTAGGTTTACAGTTTGCTTGGTATATAATAATTTTCTAGCAATTTACTTTCACTCTATGTTTTCATATGTAAAGTATATGTCTTGGACAAAGCATATGATTGGCCCTTGCTTTTTAAAAAAATCAATTCTGATAAAAATCTATTTTTTTTTAATTGCAGCATGTAGTTCATTAACATTTAATGTAATTATTAGGCCTATAATCTAAATATTTATTTTAGGTTTGTTTTATCTTACTTTGATTTTTTTCTTTTGGAATTTTCTAGCCAACTTTTGGTTTTCTTCTTTTTTTTTGAGACGGAGTTTCGCTCTTGTTACCCAGGCTGGAGTGCAATGACGCGATCTCGGCTCATCGCAACCTCCGCCTCCTGGGTTCAGGCAATTCTCCTGCCTCAGCCTCCTGAGTAGCTGGAATTACAGGCACGTGCCACCATGCACAGCTAATTTTTTCTATTTTTAGTAGAGACGGGGTTTCACCATGTTGACCACGTTGGTCTCGATCTCTTGACCTCGTGATTCACCCGCCTCGGCCTCCCAAAGTGCTGGGATTACAGGTTTGAGCCACCGCGCCCTGCCTTCACACCTCTTAAATATTTTTATGTTGAAGAAAAAACTTCAAAATTAAGTGGACATTGTAAATACATATAAGATTCCTTTATTGTTAATTAAAAAGAAGTATGACACTGCCTTGGTAGAAACAACAGTGCATTTCAGTTGCTAACTCATTTGCCTATCTGAGCTAACACAAGGATAAAAAGTATGAATTTTACTCTGTTTGGTCAATTAACTTCACAGGAAAACTCTGTTCCCTAGTCATTAATTGTATTGTCCTATCTAAACCCACTATTTCACTAAAACATCCTTTAGTCACAAAACATGAATAAAATTAATGATGAAGATAACCCAAGTTAACATTTGTTGAGTCTTTACTGTGTGCCTGGTAATGTGCCAAGTAGTTAATAAGCATTGTCATTTATTTCCCACAACAACCCTTCAAGGTAAATACTATTACCAAACCTTCTCTAAAAATCATTTCCAGGCCAGGTATTGTGGCTCGCACTTGTTGTAATCCAGGCTGAAGCAGCAGAATCACTTGAGGCCAGGAGTTGGAGACCAGCCTGGACAACATAGCAAGACCCCATCTCTACAATTAAAAAAAATAACAGTCTGGGTGTGGTGGCATGCCCCTATAGTCCCAGCTACTTGGGAGGCTGAGGGAAGAGGATCACTTGAGCCCATGAGTTCAAAGTTGCAGTGAGTTATGATTGAACCACTGCACTACACCCTGGGCAACAGTGAAGACCCTGTCTCAAAACAGAAACCAAACAAACAAAAAATAACCTTAGAACAAATGACATATACAGGTTGAACCTTATCATAACTTTTCATAAACCCCTCATAAAAATTCCAAACACATATATTTTAAATTTTGATGTTAATACAAAAATAATTTGAAATCTCCCAAAATATTCTACTAGAACTTTGTACTTATAACTTTTGTAGAAAATATTCAATTAGGCCAGGCACAGTGGCTCACACCTGTAATCCCAGCACTTTGGGAGTCTGAGGCAGGTGGATCAGGAGGTCAGGAGTTGGAGACCAGCCTGGCCAACATGATGAAACCCCATCTCTACTAAAAATACAAAAATTAGCTGGGTGGGGTAGTGTGCATCTGTAACCCCAGCTACTCAGGAGGCTGAGACAGGAGAATTGCTTGAACCAGAAGGCAGAGGTTGCAGTGAGCCGAGATCGTGCCATTGCACTCCAGCCTGGGTGACAAAAGCAAGATTCCATGAAAAAAAAGGAAAGAAAGAAAGAAGGAAGGGAGGGAGGGAGGAAAGGAAGGAAATATATCCTCATGGTAATTATTTAATTAACTGTTGATTTTTTTACGAATAATAAGAAGATACTGATGATGGAAGGAGTACTGGAGTTAGAGCCAGAAAACTTGGATTAGAGTCTCTGTTTAGGTTAATTATTAGATATGTGATTTGATGAGCTAGTTAACTTCTGTGAACTTCAGTTTTATATGTAAAATGGGCCTAATAATGCCTTTCTCATTATATTGACAAATAAAATGAACAGTTCCCTTTTTCTGAACTTCGCGGCTACATCTGATACTCTCAGTCACTCCTTTCTTCCTGAAATCCTCCTTGCTTGGTTTCATGACACTATAATTCTTCCTCTCTGTTTTCATGTCTCTGGCCATTCCTTCTCTAGTTCCTTTGAGAGCTTCTCTACCTCTTTCTACCTCTTAGATGTTGTTTGCCCCCAGGTTTCAGTCTTTGCCCTTTTCTTCTCACTCTCCACTTTTTCTTCTGTGATTTAATACACTTTAGTAGATTAAATTACTTCTGTAACCTCACCTCTCTTTACCCCTCCCTCCCACTCTATCATCCATACTGTAACAATGGCACAACTCAAGCCTTTGCAGAGCTGACTCCCTCAGCTTAATGCTATTCTCATTCTCTTATCACTCAGCTAACTCCTATTTATCCTTTAATTCTTAGATTGTCACTTTCTCCAGGAAGCCTTTCTTGATTCCACAAGACTAGGTTAAGTGCTTCTCCTGTGTGCTTACACAGCATCCCATGCTTACCCTAACTGTAGCACTTACCACAATGTACAGTAATGACTCGCTCTCCTGAAAACATCCTCTACCAGAAAGTGAGGTCTTTGAGAGTGGTGACTGTGTTTCGTACACCATTATATCCATAGCACCTCCTGCCTCGGCCTCCTATGTGGTACTACAGGCATGTATCACCATACCCAGCTAAGTTTCGGGGTTTTTTTTTGTAGAGACAGGGTTTCACTATGTTGCCCAGGCTGGTCCTCAACTTCTGGGCCCAAGTAATCCTCCCACTTTGGCCTCCGAAAGTGCTGGGATTACAAGCGTTGAGCCACCATGCCCAGCCCTCAATAGGTAAATCTTGCCAGCTTCAAGGTGAATCACTTTATGAACAGATAAGGATTATCTGGATATAATGTATGACTATCATTAGGCTTATCATTATGCAGGGATATGATATAAATACAACATGCCACTTATTACATAAGTATTTATTAAGCATATGCCAGGCACTCTACTAGGAACTGAGAAATATAACACTGAACACAGATACGGTCTCTGTTCTCGTGCTATTAATGTCTCTTTGCAAAAACTTTCAACAAAAGCCTTGATTAGACTTTTTATTCTCTCAATAAACTGTCTATACTATATTTTAAAGAAACCCCGTCTCTACTAAAAATACAAAAATAAGCTGAGTATGGTGGTAGATGCCTGTTATCTCAGCTACTAGGGAGGCTGAGGGAGGAGAATCGCTTGAACCTGGCAGGTGGAGGTTGCATTGAGCCAGGATTGCACCACTTTACTCCAGCATGGGTGAAAGAGTGAGACTCTGTCTCAAAAAATAAATAAAAAATTAAAATTTCAAATATCAATTTAATCTTTGACTTATGATCTCCTCCCACTTCTTTTCTTTCTTGACAGGATCTCACTCTGTCGCCTAGGCTGGA